GCTTGTTGCTGTCATTGAATTTAAGTTGTTAGTTATCTAAACTTCGATCTTGACCATTTTACTCATGTATTTAACAGAAGTATTACTTTTAATATTATATGAACACTTTGTAACCTTCACTAAAAAGCCTACTGCATTTTTCTAAAATGTGCATTAATTTTTGAATTATTTCAAAAGTCTTATTAAATTATCTAAAAACTTCAATGCGACTTGCTTTGAAATTTCAACAGAACACAGAGCACTAGAGAAAAAAATTGCTATGGACTTTATAGATTTTTCATCGTTTTAATCCTACAAATCTACACCATGACTTTTGATGACAATGGCTCTCTGAAATAGGAAGTATTCAATTACCAAATTTCTTTTCATCTTGGTGATTATTACTTGCTGAAATTTGATGAAAGTAGATACGTCTTTTTTTTAGATATTAGAAAAATCAGCACTGTACATAAATTAAAACTTAAAACTATTTAAAGAAAAAACCAGTGGACAATGGGTGCTTGGATACTTAAGTAAGAAATTATACTTCTATAAAATCATATGACAGATTATATATATGAAGTACTCGCATAAGACTTTTCAAATTCATGCATTGATATTGATATTATTCATGCATTACAATTTTAACTTGATGTTTTTAATAGTAATCAGTTTAATACGGTTGGTCATTATTTAACTAGAAAATTTTTTTGTTTTTAACACAATTTGTAAAATGAGTCATAAGCATTCTGATTCCTACCGTTTTTGCGAAAAAACAGAACTCTCCTACTTTTTCGAAACGTGTTCTTTCAGGGTATAATTTTGAATACTTTAAATTATAAAGGTAATAAATAATTTTTTCTGGAAATTAATGAACAATACTCAGAAGGTATCTTAATTCTCACAATTGAGTCTAGTATTTGTATTACCCTGATGTTCAGTATTTCATCGTAGTCATCGAAACGTTTTAANGGAAGGTAAATCATGTGAGTCTTTTAGTTTACCGACACCAACCATTAGCAACTATATAAATAATTGCAATATTGAGGAAATATCTTTCAGTAAAAAAATTTTCGATACAATGTACAAAAATTTAAATGAAGATCAAAGAAAAATTTTTGAAACTATTTGTGAACAAGATGAAAAAGTATATTTTATAGATGGTCCTGGTGGATCCGGAGAAACCTACTTATATAAGACACTCATTTATTACTTTATTTCTAGAGGTAAAAATATCTAGTCAATGGCTTGGACAGAAATTGCATCTGTATTACTACCAAAAGGTATGACTAGTCATAGAACTTTTCGTTTACCTCTAGACTTAGATAATATTAAAAGTGTATTTTTAGAATTTGAAACTGAAAAAAAAAATTAAGGGAAGTTGATTTAATAATATGGGACGAGGCTTCTGTGATTTCGAAAAAAGCTCTAGAAATCGTTGATAGAACGTTGAAAGACTTGTGTAATACAAAACTTTGATTTCATGATAAATTAATAGTATTAGGAGGAGATTTTCGACAAATCCTTCCAGTTATAAAAAACGGTAATAGAACTATAATAATAGAAGAAACTATTAAATCATCATTTTTATGGAACTTATTCAAAATTTTAAGATTACAAAATAATATCCGTTCTAGTAATAATGAATTATCAAAATTATTGTTAAGAATTGGAGAAGGGGACATAGAAACATTTAACATTCCTAAATCCTGGATAACAGATGATGTCTGTACCAAAATATTTAGTAATTACAGCAACTGTTTTGACAATAACGTGATACAAACTTCACATAATGAATATACTTTTTTTTAAAACAATAAGATTTTAAGTAAATTACATGGGGAAACTAAAACTTATTACAGCATCGATACTGCAACATATAAAGGTGTTGATAAATCAGATGATAATATTTATATAAATTTTCCCGTAGAAATGTTAACCAACATTCGTAAAGGCTTGCCACCTCATGAACTTAAATTAAAAATAGGTACAATAGTAATGTTAATTCGAAATTTCAGTATATCAGACGGATTATGTAATTGTACACGATTGCGAATTACTAAATTACTGAAGTATAATGTAGAAGGCGAAATAATAACGGGAGAAAAATTGGTAATAAAGTTTTTATTCCAAGAATTACATAAAGTACTGGAAATACTTCATCATTACCTTTTATTTTATATAGAAAACAATTCCCATTAGTTGTAGCATTTGCTATGACTATAAATAAGTCTCAAGGTCAAAGTTTTGATAATGTGGGATTATACTTAAAAAAACCTTTATTTTCTCATGGTCAATTATACGTGGCTTTATCAAGATGCAAAAATAAAAATGGAATTTTTGTTCAAGTCGATAGAGAAAACAGTTTAGAGATTGAAAATATAGTTTGGAAAGAAATTTTT